GATCCTTTCCTGTACCTTTTTCCTTTTTTAACAAGCAGATCTTTTACTTAAGCATTCTGAGCCCTTGTTTTCTTATTATTATTATTCGCGTTCACCAGCTGTACACTCTGGCGGAAAGTTCTGGTTGCTCGTCCACTACTGAACTGCAGTCCTGCTCCAGAACCTGAGTGTTGCGTGTGCATCAGTTTTACAGATCTCATTCTCTTGAATACAGACTGTTGATTCCTTGCCTCTCCGGCGGATTCACTCCGACTTCAAAGGAAGCTCCCTAATTAATCGACTTTTACGACATGCTTTTGGGGAGGCAGTGGGTCTATTCTTGTTTTCCCCACAATGGGGCCCCGGAACCCACACGGGGGGGGAGGGGGGGGAGGCCCCTGTGTTATACCTAAGAAAATCTTATACAAGAGCACCAAACAAGAAAACAGACCGCCAATATTAACTCTTTGAGTCCCAAGGAGCGTATCATACATTCATAGGTTCCCGCCTAGAGGCCCAATGAACGCAAGATGCACCGATTTTACATCTCTTTTGACTACCCCTTGGGCCTCTGATGCTAAACCCCCTAAGACTCAAAGAGTTAAAGATATTGTCTAGTCATTGAGAATGACAATAAGCAGTGTCACATTTTAAATGTTGAACCATAGAATTTCCAGTCCCACAATGCCTGACTGCAAAAGTAAAGACTATGATAATAAAAAGAAATACATAGAATAAGTCACTGTTCACATCTGCCTATGTGGTCCATGAACTCTTTCTGGGAATTAAATTCACTGGCTTTTCTGTAGCAATAACTGCATTCCTTAACATCTTGTGGATCTGTATGTAGAGTGGCAGCTTTCGTACATTCCAGCTCTGGACTAGTATGATGTGTTTCTTGTGTTTTATAGGTTTCTTTAGGTTTCTTTGGCTTTTGCTTGGGCGAAGTCATTTGTGCCTGGCACACAGTATTTTCAGGATAAACGCCTTTAAGCTGAGTCTCATTTGACTGTTGGACACCTGAATCTGCCTCTGTGTGTGATCTCAAGGATACCCTGAGATCTATGCCATGTTTTGGGGTCACAGGCAATGAAGACTCTACTGGTTTAGCAAGCTCTTCTCTCTGTAGAAAACACATCAAAAGGAGCATATATTTGGTGAAAAAGTCTGTGGCAAATGAAGCAACAATTTCAACACTCTAATCTCTAATATAAGCAAAGTATTTCCGTTTCTGAGTTATGATATCATTAATAAGCCAGAGCGCCCTCCCCCCCTTTTTTCAGTTGCAGATCTCGTAGAATATCATCATTTCGTGTGTGTATGTGTGTGCATGCGTGCATGCATGTTTGTGTGTGAGAGAAAGTAAGTAAGTGAGTGAGTGATTGAATGTGTGTGTGTCTGTCTGTGTGTGTATGTGTGTTGGTCTGTCAGTCTTTTTCTTTGATCCTCACAATACACGTATTTGCAGCATTCATTTAGTCGTACCCTGAGTAGTCAATATACTTCCTATTGTACTAATGTCCAAGTAAGATTTCATTTTGTCATAACATACTTATTTCTTCTTGTTTCTTTCATTTTGTCATAACATACTTTTTTTTTTTTTTTTCTTTCATTTTGTCATAACATACTTTTTTTCTTCTTGTTTCTTTCATTTTGTCATAACATACTTATTTCTTCTTGTTTCTTTCATTTTGTCATAACATACTTATTTCTTCTTGTTTCTTTCATTTTGTCATAACATACTTTTTTTCTTCTTGTTTCTTTCATTTTGTCATAACATACTTTTTTTCTTTTGTTTCTTTCATTTTGTCATAACATACTTATTTTTTCTCTTTTTCTTCATTTCTTTTTTTGTTTCATAACATACTTATTTCTTCTTGTTTCTTTCATTTTGTCATAACATACTTTTTTCTTTTTGTTTCTTTCATTTTGTCATAACATACTTTTTTTCTTCTTGTTTTTTCATTTTTTGTGTTTCTTTCATTTTGTCATAACATACTTTTTTTTCTTTTTGTTTCTTTCATTTTGTCATAACATACTTTTTTTCTTCTTCATTTTTTTCATAACATTTTTTCTTTGTTTCTTTCATTTTGTCATAACATACTTTTTTTCTTCTTGTTTCTTTCATTTTGTCATAACATACTTTTTTTCTTTTGTTTCTTTCATTTTGTCATAACATACTTTTTTCTTCTTGTTTCTTTCATTTTGTCATAACATACTTTTTTCTTCTTGTTTCTTTCATTTTGTCATAACATACTTTTTTTCTTCTTGTTTCTTTCATTTTGTCATAACATACTTTTTTCTTCTTGTTTCTTTCATTTTGTCATAACATACTTTTTTTCTTTTGTTTCTTTCATTTTTTCCATAACATACTTTTTTCTTCTTGTTTCTTTCATTTTGTCATAACATACTTTTTTTTTCTTTCATTTTGTCATAACATACTTTTTTTTCTTTCATTTTGTCATAACATACTTTTTTCTTCTTGTTTCTTTCATTTTGTCATAACATACTTTTTTCTTCTTGTTTCTTTCATTTTGTCATAACATACTTTTTTCTTCTTGTTTCTTTCATTTTGTCATAACATACTTTTTTTTTTCTTGTTTTTTCATTTGTCATTTCATTTTGTCATAACATACTTTTTTCTTCTTTGTTTCTTGTTTTTCATTTTGTCATAACATACTTTTTTCTTCTTGTTTCTTTCATTTTGTCATAACATTCTTTTTTCTTCTTGTTTCTGTCATCATAACATACTTATTTCTTCTTGTTTCTTTCATTTTGTCATAACATACTTTTTTCTTCTGTGTTTCTTTCATTTTGTCATAAACATACTTTTTTCTTCTTGTTTCTTTCATTTTGTCATAACATACTTTTTTCTTCTTGTTTCTTTCATTTTGTCATAACATACTTTTTTTCTTCTTGTTTCTTTCATTTTGTCATAACATACTTTTTTCTTCTTGTTTCTTTCATTTTGTCATAACATACTTTTTTCTTCTTGTTTCTTTCATTTTGTCATAACATACTTTTTTCTTCTTGTTTCTTTCATTTTGTTTCTTCTTTCATTTTGTCATAACATACTTTTTTCTTCTTGTTTCTTTCATTTTGTTAACATACTTATTTCTTCTTGTTTCTTTCATTTTGTCATAACATACTTATTTCTTCTTGTTTCTTTCATTTTGTCATAACATACTTCATTTCTTCTTGTTTCTTGTTTCTTTCATTTTGTCATAACATACTTATTTCTTCTTGTTTCTTTCATTTTGTCATAACATACTTATTTCTTCTTGTTTCTTTCATTTTGTCATAACATACTTATTTCTTCTTGTTTCTTTCATTTTGTCATAACATACTTTTTTCTTCTTGTTTCTTTCATTTTGTCATAACATACTTATTACTTTTTTTTCATAACATCTTGTTTCTTTCATTTTGTCATAACATACTTTTTTCTTCTTGTTTCTTTCATTTTGTCATAACATACTTATTTCTTCTTGTTTCTTTCATTTTGTCATAACATACTTATTTCTTCTTGTTTCTTTCATTTTGTCATAACATACTTATTTCTTCTTGTTTCTTTCATTTTGTCATAACATACTTTTTTTCTTCTTGTTTCTTTCATTTTGTCATAACATACTTATTTCTTCTTGTTTCTTTCATTTTGTCATAACATACTTATTTCTTCTTGTTTCTTTCATTTTGTCATAACATTTTGTCATAACTTTATTTCTTTGTTTCTTTCATTTTGTCATAACATACTTATTTCTTCTTGTTTCTTTCATTTTGTCATAACATACTTATTTCTTTTGTCATGTATTTCTCTTTCTTTTTTGTCATAACATACTATTTCTTCTTTTTTCTTTCATTTTGTCATAACATACTTATTTCTTCTTGTTTCTTTTCATTTTGTCATAACATACTTTTTTTTCTTCTTGTTTCTTTCATTTTGTCATAACATACTTTTTTCTTCTTGTTTCTTTCATTTTGTCATAACATACTTTTTCTTCTTGTTTCTTTCATTTTGTCATAACATACTTATTTCTTCTTATTTCTTCTTGTTTCTTTCATTTTGTCATAACATACTTATTTCTTCTTGTTTCTTTCTTTTTTCATAACATTCATTTTGTCATTACTTTTTTGTTCTTTCATTTTGTCATAACATACTAATTTCTTCTTGTTTCTTTCATTTTGTCATAACATACTTATTTCTTCTTGTTTCTTTCATTTTGTCATAACATACTTTCATTTTTTTCTTCTTGTTTCTTTCATTTTGTCATAACATACTTATTTCTTTTTTCTTCATTTTGTCATAACATACTTTTTTTTCTTTCATTTTGTCATAACATACTTTTTTTCTTCTTGTTTCTTTCATTTTGTCATAACATACTTATTTCTTCTTGTTTCTTTCATTTTGTCATAACATACTTATTTCTTCTTGTTCTTTCATTTTGTCATAACATACATTTTGTCATAACATATTTCTTCTTGTTTCTTTCATTTTGTCATAACATACTTTTTTTCTTCTTGTTTCTTTCATTTTGTCATAACATACTTATTTCTTCTTGTTTCTTTCATTTTGTCATAACATACTTATTTCTTCTTGTTTCTTTCATTTTGTCATTACATACTAATTTCTTCTTGTTTCTTTTTCTGCCCGTTGGAATGCTCTGCTGTGATTTACAGCTCAGCTACAAAATCTGCACCTTTTGACTCAAAACGTCTGATTGCTCAGGCGATTCTCTCTTAGCTGCACACAGACAAAGTTGATTGCTCAGGCGATTTTCTCTTAGCTGCACACAGACAGAGTTGATTGCTCAGGCGATTCTCTCTTAGCTGCACACAGAGTTGATTGCTCAGGCGATTCTCTCTTAGCTGCACACAGACAGAGTTGATTGCTCAGGTGATTATCTCTTAGCTGCACACAGACAGAGCTGATTGCTCAGGCGATCTTCTCTTAGCTGCACACAGACAGAGAGACTTGATCGGACACAAAATAATGCCATGCGCATCATACTTGGACGTACATGTTTTTAACTCACCAGCCACTGATTGGCCTTCTTTAGCTCTTCAATCTGCAAGCAATAAAACAAACAATTAAAACAATCTCGTGAGACAACATAAAGAATTATTGTGCACATTAGTGAAACAATCATGACAATAAAAGTAGTTGTAACAATAAAAATCAAACACAGCAATTTTTTTTTAATTTTTAAAAATTTTTATCTATATAAAAAAATGCACCCTAGATTAGCCGGCTATTCAGTATACATCACATACATTTCAAAGTCTCTGTTCTGTATCACATACATTTTCAAAGTCTCTCTGACCTCTAAAAACTCATTCCCAAGCCGCTCAATACAACATCACAATAATACCTAAGTCTTTCTGTTTTACATCACATACACTTCCTAAATCTATTTGTCCCATATCACCTAGTTTTCCTAAACCTCTATGTCCTGTATCAACTATTTTTCCTAAATCTCTCTATCCTGTATCACACACTTTTCCTAAACCTCTTTTTCATAGTCCTGGGAAGTAAAGGTGGCCAGCCTGATGCTGACCACATCACTCACCAAGGTCCAACTATCTATACAAATACAGGTCTAGGCCCATAATCCCAATACGCCTAAAGGCGGGGAAAAGGGTGCTTTACTTTTACTTACTTACTTTGTCGTATTTCATCTACTTTTTCTAAACCCTTTTGCCCTATGTCACCTACTTTTCCTAAACCTCTTTCTCCTGCATCAACTACATTTTTTAAACCTCTCTGTCCTATATCACTTACTTTTCCTAAACCTCTCTATCTTATATCACCTACTTTTCCTAAACCTCTGTGTCCTCAGTCTGGACAGTGATAATCAACATGAAACTAGAATTTATGGGGATCTTATCAGATAGAAAACAGTCAACAACAGACAAGCAGCGAGACATGCAGACAGACAGAAAAACAAGACATAAAATGATCACTAACTCATTCAGCCCTATCAAACGCACAATATATTTATAGGTTCCTACCCAAAGGCCCAAAAAACGCAAGATGGGACAATTTTACATCTCTCTTCACCACCTAATGGGCCTCTGTTACTAAACACACTAGGACTAAAAGAGATTTAAAACTGTCCATTTGAGGTAAAGGAAACTCACCTTTTTTTTCAAACTTCTGTCATCTCTATCAAACCTAGTTCTTTCCTCGTTTAATGTTCTTGCCAGATTGCTAAAAATGTCATTTAATGTTTTGTTTTCCTGTTCTTCTTTGAGGATTCTTGCACTTAAAATTTTAATCTGGAATTAAAGAAAAAAGAAACAAAATAAACAAATAATAAATGTTAAGACATGTAAGAAAGTTATGCAAGTAATGTTCCTAGCAGTTAATGGTTCAGCATTTTAGATGGTGATTACATAAACTTTGTAAAAGGAGTTCAAGAATATTAACATGAATTCAAGCATGGCAGCCTGATAGTAGGGGTTCAATAATGGTAACATGGGTCCAAGTGTATCAACATGGGTCCAAGTGTATCAACATGGGTCCAAGTGTATCAACATGGGTCCAAGTGTATCAACATGGGTCCAAGTGTATCAACATGGGTCCAAGTGTATCAACATGGGTCCAAGTGTATCAACATGGGTCCAAGTCTGGTAATATGGGTTCAAGTCTGGTTATAAGCGTTCAAGTGTGGCAACATAGGTTAAAGTTTAGTAAAATGGGTTCAAGTCTGATAATATGGGTTGAAGTCCAGTAATATGGTTTCAAGTCTGGTAATATGGGTTCAAGTGTGGTTACATGGGTTCAAGTTTAATAATGTGGCTTTATGTCTGGTAATATGGATTCAAGTCTGGTAATTGGTAATATGGGTTTACCTCTCTAATATGGGTTCAAGAATTGTAATGTGGGTTTAAGTGCAGCAGTATGGATTCAGGTCTGATAATTTGGGCTCAAGTATGGTACCATTGGTTACCAGTGCCTTTAAAAACTGATTCATTTATTACATGAATCAGACATTAATAAAATACAAATTACCAGAAATATATATAAAAGGTGACATACCTGACCTTGCAACTCCTGACATCTGACATTTGAGTCATTTAAATGTTGCTGTGCTGTGCTCAGTTCTCTGTCTTTTTCAATAAACTGAGTAAACAAAATCACACAGTAAGTCAATATACATCAGCTTTTGGAGGATGTGGGGATTCCCACATTTGATGCAGGACAGTTGTGTTGTTTTAGTGATGATTAGTTGAAATTTAAAATCTGTCATTTCAACACTTCATTTTATGCGAAAACTATACATAGAAAACAGAGTAATAATAGTAACATTTAAAGGGCATAATCGGAAAAGGAAAAAAAGGGGGGGGGGGGGGGGGGGGGGGGGGGGGGGGGGGGGGGGGGGACCATGAAACAAAGAGCTTTCAAACAAGATGCAATTACTGGCAGAGTTTAGTAAAAAACTGAAATCCTAGCACTCAGAACATTCATAAAATGCTCTGTCTCCACCTTTGGAAGCCAGTTTCTATACTAAATGGGCTAGCTACACTCTGATAGTATGTCTGTCTTTCCTTTTCTCTGTGTTTTTAGTGTAGGCCAGATCTTGAAGCAACTAGGAAGCTAGACAGAAAGAAATGCACACGAGAACACACTTACACACAAAATAAGACTATTGTATTCAGTTTAAAAAAAAATTATTCCTGTTTCTTTTTCTTCTTCTTGTGTTTAATTTCTGATTTACACTGACAGACAAGCTCTTGTGAAAAACTTGACTTTTTTTTAGGATTCCTGTTTAATTTGTTGTTAAAGTCTTTGGTCAACATGTTTGCTTGTGCTTTTTGTATGCCTCCTTCATGCCAAGTTTTCTATGATTTCTATGGTTTTCAGTCATTTTTCTCTTCAGCTGCACATTAGTCACCCATATTTTTGGGAATATGTTAACTATCTCGCCATGAGAAAGCTGCCCCCCCCCTCCTCCCTTTCCAGCTTTTATGGGTTTTGGTTAACAAGACGTCTTGGACAGTACTAAGTATGCCTGTTTGGCAGCTTTGCTGCCGACTGCAACTGCATAGTGTCTAGACATATTGGGCATAACTGTATTATTTGGGGCAAAAAAAAATTAACTGTTAACAATTATATATTCACAATACATCTTATAATTTCCTTTTACATTTCTCTCTGTGGCAAAGTTACCAAAATCACTTGAAAATTGTCAAAGGAAAGGAAATCAGTAAATTCCTTACTCTGTATTCATTTCACGTAGAAATAAACTTTTTTTCTATTTTGACATAAAATGAATGGAGCAAGTTTTAAAAAATTGTGTATGTGACATGACGTCATTAAAGAAGCTGAGAATTTTATGCCTGCCTGTCTTCTCAGTGGTCAAGGGGTTCAACCCCTAGATTTTTATAAAAACAGACCAAGACTATACATTTCTTCTGCTTCTCCTCTTCTAGTTTCTGGGGTAGAATTTCATAGAATTCTAATTATACACTTTAACAACAAACAAACAAAAACTGAAATTAAATAACAAAATTGTATTGATTCTTTTGTTGTGAGAGTAATAGTTAGTTGAGTGTCTTTTACAAGACGTTGTAGAACCAACTGCAGCATTTTTTTGCCTGTTGTGATTTTTTAAGGCGAATTTATTTTCCGTAATTTGCCATTGAATCTGAATGGTCGACTCTTGATATCACTGCTGAAACCAATGCAAGTCGGTCTGCTGCCAAACTGCTTGCAGTTGGGGTTGAACCCAGCACCCTAACATTTCAAAACGCATTCACAACACCTAAGCCACAGATGCTGACAGTGTTAAGGGACAGCAATATCATACAGATTTTTTTTTTAAAGTTATCATCATCAACAGTAATTTCCACTTCTGCAATTATGTATCGAGGGAAAGAAACAGTTTGTGAAACACGGCTTGATGGGCAGTAATAGTTAATGTAATTCTGTTCTGATGTCTTTAATGTCATCAGTTCATGATCTCCTAGGGTGACCTCTTGTTTTCACATCAGATCTTTGTATGTGCAGCTCCTTTGCTGGTAGTTGTTCTGGCTGCATTATTACTGAATAACCAAACCATTTGATCTCCTGTTTCTCAGTAAATCTGCTGCCTGGTGTTGTACCCACAGTCTGTCTGATAATATCATTTCTATCTTTGTCTCAAATGGTTCAGTTGGTGGTTTTCCTCAGGCATTTGAGTTCACAGATGTTAATATTATTAAGGTTAGCTGCTAATAATGTCCAAATCTGGCACTGGTACCAGTCTTGGTATTAATATTTTGTTTATAATCTGTTTCTTGATGCTTGTACTTATGTTTGGATGTCTTTATAATGGTGTCTGGTAGTATAAAAAACAAAGTAAAGGAGGGAAATATAAGGTCTGATTCATGACAATAATGCAACTCGAGTGTGAAGTTCTAGACCTTCACATATTCTAAACAAAAAACATGAAATGAAGTGATTACTTCACTTCCTTGCCACCCATCCTTCCCCCAGTATTCTTAAAATAATCCAGTAATATTTGTCTAGTTGACGCCAGTGTTTTCTGATCAGCCATGGCAACCTAGCACTGATGGGGATTGGCTGTAAGTTTCCCAGATGTCTAGTTCCATACCTTGCCATAGGGCTCTCATTTTGTCGATGTTCAGGATCACATTAGGAGGTTCGTAGGAACTGCATTAGCTGGCATATTATGAGGCTTGGTGTGAATTTAATAAGTTGAAGATAATGTCAAGAGGATTGACTTTATTGCCCCAGGTTATCCTATATGGCTCAGTCTCCCTCCGTAAAAAAAACTAACTTCCTGCAGACAGTGCAGCCATCACACATAGCACAAACTCTGTAGCTCCAGTGACAATCCCCAGGGATTTTCATAAAAACTGCATAGGTAAACTGAAGACTGTGTCCCTGAAATGAATCCACAGCCTTCAGAGTGCCAGGTAAACAGCTTGACCACTTCAATAGGGAGCCCTCCTGTTTGTTGACAACCTAAGCTCCAATGACGCCAGGACAGAAGAAGAAGAAGAAGCAGAAGAAGAAGAAGAAGAAGAAGAAGAAGAAGAAGAAGAAGAAGAAGAAGAAGAAGAAGAAGAAGAAGAAGAAGAAGAAGAAAAAGAAGAAGAAGAAGAAGAAGAAGAAGAAGAAGAAGAAGAAGAAGAAGAAGAAGAAGAAGAAGAAGAAGAAGAAGAGAAGCAGAAGAAGAAAAAGAAGAAGAAGAAGAAGAAGAAGAAGAAGAAGAAGAAGAAGAAGAAGAAGAAGAAGAAGAAGAAGAAGAAGAAGAAGAAGAAGAAGCAGAAAGATAAAAAAGAATGAAAACGGTTAAGAAAATATCAAAATGTGTCTATATGCTTAAAGACTGTTTGGTGACACTTACTTTTCTTTGCCAGACATCTGCACTTTTCTTTAAAAGCAAAATATTATTCTGTTGTAACATCAGCTAAAAATGAAAATAACATTTACAGCCAATGAAAATACTCATATATTTTATTGTCTATGAAGTAGCGATTGATCTATAAACTACAGGTCTAGCACTATATCATCAGCTCTCCTTTGAATCGTTCCCCAAAATGGCGGCTTTAATATGATGGCGATCGAAAGAGAGCTAAATTGGGCAATTTCTGGCCATAAAATATCCAAAAATATCTGAATGCGGGTCAGTTCTATTAAAAATATATGTGCCGGCTTTGGATAACGAAACAAATGCTCTGACAGGGTCTCCGCAATACGTTGCTAGCCGACCTGCTTCTGCGAGTGTGCTTCACCGCCGAGCGTATCCCCCGCGCCTCTACGCGCGGCGTGGATGGGGACTAAACTAGATAAGTGGGACTCACGAGCGGCAGCTACCGCATCTCCTGCAACTTCCTCTAATTACTGTACTCGTGAGTCCCAGCCATATCCTCAATACACCTGATAGCATGGAAAGGGGCCCTTTAATTGTCTCTAGCTCAAAACCGTTTAAGCAGACAGGCTGAACAACATTTAATGAAGGTGGAATGTGCTTTATGAGAACAATAAAATAAAAATAAAAAAATGGACTGACAGAAAAACAAATGAAACGTCCTTACAAAAGAGATGAAAACCACAAACTGATTACGAATATTGGCGCTCCTTTGAATCGTTCCCCAAAATGGCGGCATGCCACATTCTGGCCATAAAATATCCAAAAATATCCGAACGACGGTGTTCGCGTATATCTAAAATACGGACTTTCTGCCAAGGAACAAATTGCGGCAAAACTAGGATTACTTGACAATAAATATCAACATTTGCACACGGTACTAGTAGCAGACGATAAATACCGACCGTTGACAACAAATTCGAGCGTTTCTGCAGACGATACTAGCAGACGATATTAGCGACCGTTGACCAATTTCGAGACATTACAGACGATGAAAGCCGATTAGCAATACTGTGTTCTTCCGATTGGAGGATTTAGCAGCGGTAGATGTCAGACTTGTCGGCATGCGCCAAACGCGATTAAACTCATCGCCGAGCGCATCCCCTGCGCCGCTACGCGCGGCGCCGATGGGAGCTAAACTAGGTGCCTGGGACTCACGAGTACAGTAATTGGAGGAAGTTGCAGGTGATGCGGCGGTGAGGCACACTCGCAGAAGCAGGTCGGCAAGCAACGTATCGCTGAGACCCTGTCAGAGCATTTGTTTCGTTATCCAGAGCCGGCACATATATTTTTAATAGAACTGACCCGCATTCGGATATTTTTGGATATTTTATGGCCAGAAATTGGCCAATTTAGCTCTCTTTCGAACGCCATCATATTAAAGCCGCCATTTTGGGTAACGATTCAAAGGAGAGCCTGAATATTAGGCTCAGACATTCAAGATTTTGTGGATTTGTTATAAGAAGAAATAAAAACTAAAACTTTGTGAGAAATTGTGAGCAGAGGGATAACAGAGAGATACATATCTGGATGACTTGGCCATATGGCACGGAGAGGACAAGAAACAAACTTGATCCGTGATTTTAGTGATCGTGTGAGATGGTGTATCATGACCGACTACGCCAGGGCTTTTCATCTGGCGGCCTACAGGCCAAATTTGGCCCACAGAGGTCTAGCAAATTACCAGTGATTTATTGCCAGTTGTACTGTATTAATAATCTTTCTATGCTGGAATTCGGGCCTGTGGCCCATGAAGATCCCAATTTTCAACATTCTGACTCTTGAATAAATTTAGCTGAATAACCCTAGCTTATGCTTATCGGCACAGCACATCATAATATTCTTGATATGCTAAAAGTGTACTGATTGTGAATATGTCTCTCATCATCATGTGCCCTGGCAAATGACGTAGGGGCTCATGCGTCTCCACAGATAAAGATCCCTGGTTGCCTGGAACAGCTATCTTGATGATATCCCTCCATACCATTGTTTCAGCCCATCCAGCATCATTTCTCTTGGTCTGCCTCTACCACTTTTTTCACTGATCTTTCCAGTTGTCACGATGTTTTTAATGTCTCTATTCTCATTTTGTAGCCAAAGAACAGTGTTTGTTCTTTTTTGTTTATAGTGGAATATGTTTCTACAGGTTAAAAAAAAAAATACTTTCATTTGATATTTGTTCACCACATCTGTCTGAAATGTCCAAAGTAATATTACACAGTCTGGCTGTGTAGGTGGAAGAAAAAATTATGTTAAAAAAAAGTATTTTTTTTGCATATTTACTCGCTGCAAACTGGTGGAAGGCTCCGGTTGTTCGTCCACTTCTGGACATTAGTTTTGTTAGAGAACTTGGGTTTTGCCTGTGCATTAATTTTAGTGATCTTTCGTATTTGTACGCAGACTGTTGGTTCCTTGCCTGTCAGACAGATGTACGCCAACTTTGAGAGAAATCCTTAATCAGTCGAATCTTATGACATCATTGCTAGAGATGCAATGGGTGAATTTTTTTTTTTTCTCCCACAGTGGTGGCCATGAACCCACACGAAGAACAAAAAAAAGTATTTATATTATTATCGGCTCTCCTTTAAATAATGGTCCTAAATGATCTACGCAGAAAGTAAACCCAAACAGAGCCTCACTCATATCTAAATTTGGCATTTCTTTTGTGGCGATACAACCGTGTCAAAAGTAGGAATAATTGCGCACGACATTTTCGCGAAACACAACGGCATTTTTTTTACGGCGATTACACGGCGGCAAAACTAGGATTAACTACGGACGAAAAAAATTAGCGACACGCGAGAATACTGCCGATAGCGCTATCCTACGGCAGGGCCCGAGTTATATGTAAGTTGCAGACCGCTTTTCGCCGACTATAGTGCCACCTCCGAGAGTATCCCCCGCGCCCCTACGCGTGGCGCGGAAGGGGCTAAACTAGATGGCTAGGACTCACGAGCATCAGCTACAGCAGCTCATGCAGCTTCCTCTAATGTATTTGCTCATGAGTCCTAGCCATCTAGTTTAGTCCCTTCCGCGTCGCACGTAGCGACGCGGGGATACTTTCGGAGGTGGCACTGTAGTCGCCGAAAAAAGAAGCTCACAATTTACCCGTTACTGACCCCAGGTCAGCGTACATTTCCGGCCTCGACATTTTGGGAGCGTCATTCGGAGGATAGCCTGCGATAGCATTCAGATGCCTGGGAGACCACCAGCTCCGACGCACATCTGCGATAGCGTTGGCGGCACAGCGAAAACGAACAGATATTCGGGCACTATTTGCAACGTCTGTGCCACAATTTTCACGTATAAAGGATTTCAATATCGGTAAGTAGAAGAATTCCCCCATTTTCTTCATACTTTTCGTTCCTTATATTTCCCGAGTTACAGCTTTTAAATGTTTGTAGGACAGGACGTAATGAGGCTCTGTTAAGGTTAACTTTCTGCGTAGATCATTTGGGACCGTTATTTGAAGGAGAGCCTATTATCTTCAACAACTAAATAAAAATATCAATACATTTGTGAAAAGTTTTATAAAGTTATAGAAACACTATTTTTGCTTATTTCTGTTTAAAATAACAACTCTTTTGGAAGAAAATAGATAAGCAGCAACCATCTTGGGCTCAAATTAGTAAATGGTTTATCAGTAACATAGCATCACCATACCTCTTCATTAAAACGAGTAACGTCTTTCATTACACTTCATAGCAACAGACGGAAATTGGCCCTTCAGTTCAGTGACAAGCTATGAGGAAAAAGGAAATAATTATACATTAATATATATTAAAACAAAATGAAATATACTGGAGTTGATCTGTTATGCATTTAAATACGCAGCCTAAAATCATAAATTAAATATGTCAATATCCATAAGAATTTATCAGTTAACATGATAGTTTCCCATTATATTTTTACCCCCCCCCCCCCCACACACATACACATATATTGTTTGTTTGTTTTAGTATCCAGAAGCCATGAGTTGTTAACCCTTGGGCTCGGTATTATGGATATCGAAACCTTTCGGGGTTGATTCCATTGTAAATACCGTAAATCTGGGAGAAAATGTGGCTTTCCTGCCTACCCCGGGATTGAACCCGGACCACAAGGAGTTCGTCACCCGGTCTCCGCGCAATCCGGTTTAGCCAACTACGCTAGAGAGCCGGGCTCGGAATATAGATTACTGGCCTTTGTGTTTCTGAATTATCTGCACTTGGCAATCCACTAGGAATGTTGCTTTTGTGGCTCCGAATGCTTCCTAAACTCTTGACAAGCGAGAGATAATGTCTTCTACTCCAACCCTTCCCCAAAAAACCTTCAAAGCCAAGTTGTCATATTTTCTGTCTGGTGTGTGTAGTCGTAGGGGGTTTCTGGGACCTCTCCATGGGTGATCCTCATCCACATGGTGGCACTTTGTGTCACCTGGTGTTTATCGCCTGTCTGATGTCCTGGTGTGGTACAACTACCTACCTACCATCTTCTGTCATCTCCTACAGCTCACTCCAATACCTCCTAATTATCACCATCTCTGTCTCCAGTGGAAAAGTAGAATGATCTTTTCCACTGGTCTCAACAATGGTGACCTTTCTACTCTTTGCATACTTATCTACTCTTTGCATGACTTATCTACTCTTTGCATGACTTATCTACTCTTTGCATACTTATCTACTCTTTGCATGACTTATCTACTCTTTGCATGACTTATCTACTCTTTGCATGACTTATCTACTCTTTGCATGACTTATCTACTCTTTGCATGACTTACTCTTCGCATGACTTATCTACTCTTTGCATGACTTATTTACTCTTTGCATGACTTATCTACTCTTTGCATGACTTATCTACTCTTTGCATGACTTATCTACTCTTTGCATGACTTATCTACTCTTTGCATGACTTATCTACTTTTTGCATGACTTATCTACTCTTTGCATGACTTACTCTTTGCATGACTTATCTACTCTTTGTATGACGTATCTACTCTTTGATGACTTATCTACTCCTTGCATGACTTATCTACTCTTTGCAGAACAGTTGGAATGTAAATAAGAAAAGCACTATTCAAGCTGCATCACTAAACAACTTTAGAGTATATATAGGACAATGGAAGTTACTTTTAAAATTAAAGCCCTGTGCATAACATCGCCTCATCAAGCATGAGAATAGAGGGGCAAGCATTAACACCAGCTTATCAATGGATGGACAGTAGTAATTGCTCAACATGTATCTTAATCACTAATCTAGACCCCCCCCCCCCCCCCCAGAATTAAGGTGCCAGTACTGGTGATAAAGTGTATAAAATCATGCTGGCACTCACCACAAAGTGGTTATTACAGTAGCGCTGAAAAAAATTATGCCTCAAACACACCGCTACCTTTGCCAAAAAAAAAAAAAAAACAGTAGTCATAACTGACTTGCAAAGCATGCTTAAAAAAGAGAAACCAGTGTCTTGCACTCAGAGTGGCTTACATCACTTGATAAGAATCAGAAAAGAAAAACCCACATTAGAGAAAAGAGAGAGCTGAGTCAGAGAGACTGAATCTTTACCCAGTAGTAGAGAAGCAAGGACTAAGACAGACAGACAGATTAAATCTTCATCCAGTAGTAGAGAAGCGAGGACTAAGACAGACAGATTGAATCTTCATCCAGTAGTAGAGAAGCGAGGACTAAGACAGACAGATTAAATCTTCATCCAGTAGTAGAGAAGCAAGGACTAAGACAGACAGACAGATTAAATCTTCATCCAGTAGTAGAGAAGCGAGGACTAAGACAGACAGATTGAATCTTCATCCAATAGTAGAGAAGCGAGGACTAAGACAGACAGATTAAATCTTCATTCAGTAGTAGAGAAGCGAGGACTAAGACAGACAGATTGAATCTTCATTCAGTAATAGAGAAGCGAGGACTAAGACAGACAGATTAAATCTTCATTCAGTAGTAGAGAAGCGAGGACTAAGACAGACAGATTGAATCTTCATCCAGTAGTAGAGAAGCGAGGACTAAGACAGACAGATTAAATCTTCATCCAGTAGTAGAGAAGCGAGGACTAAGACAGACAGATTGAATCTTCATCCAGTAGTAGAAAAGCGAGGACTTAGACAGACAGACTAAATCTCCATCCAGTAGTAGAGAAGTGAGGACTAAGACAGACAGATTAAATCTTCATCCAGTAGTAGAGAAGCGAGGGCTAAGACAGACAGATTAAATCTTCATCCAGTAGTAGAGAAGCGAGGACTAAGACAGACAGATTGAATCTTCATCCAGTAGTAGAGAAGCGAGGACTAAGACAGACAGATTAAATCTTCATCCAGTAGTAGAGAAGCGAGGACTTAGACAGACAGACAGATTGAATCTTCATCCAGTAGTAGAGAAGCGAGGACTAAGACAGACAGATTGAATCTTCATTCAGTAGTAGAGAAGCTAGGACTAAGACAGACAGACAAATTGAATCTTCATCCAGTAGTAGAGAAGCGAGGACTAAGACAGACAGACAGATTGAATCTTTATTCAGTAGTAGAGAAGCGAGGACAGACAGATTAAATCTACATCCAGTAGTATAGAAGCGAGGACTAAGACAGACAGACAGATTGAATCTTCATCCAGTAGTAGAGAAGCGAGGACAGACAGATTAAATCTCCATCCAGTAGTAGAGAAGCGAGGACTAAGACAGATTAAATCTCCATCCAGTAGTAGAGAAGCGAGGACTGAGACAGACAGATTGAATCTTCATCCAGTAGTAGAGAAGCGAGGACTGAGACAGACAGATTGAATCTTCATCCAGTAGTAGAGAAGCGAGGACTAAGACAGACAGATTGAATCTTCATCCAGTAGTAGAGAAGCGAGGACTGAGACAGACAGATTAAATCTTTATCCAGTAGTAGAGAAGCGAGGACTGAGACAAACTGATTGAATCTTCATCCAGTAGTAGAGAAGCGAGGACTAAGACAGACAGATTGAATCTTCATCCAGTAGTAGAGAAGCGAGGACTGAGACAGACAGATTAAATCTTCATCCAGTAGTAGAGAAGCGAAGACTAAGACAGACTGATTAAATCTTCATCCAGTAGTAGAGAAGCAAGGACTAAGACAGACAGATTGAATCTTCATCCAGTAGTAGAGAAGCGAGGACTAAGACAGACAGACAGATTGAATCTTCATTCAGTAGTAGAGAAGCGAGGACTAAGACAGACAGATTGAATCTTCATCCAGTAGTAGAGAAGCAAGGACTAAGACAGACAGATTAAATCTTCATCCAGTAGTAGAGAAGCAAGGACTAAGACAGACAGACAGACAGATTAAATCTTCATCCAGAAGTAGAGAAGCGAGGACTAAGACAGACAGATTAAATCTTCATTCAGTAGTACAGAAGCAAGGACTAAGACAGACAGATTGAATCTTCATCCAGTAGTAGAGAAGCGAGGACTAAGACAGACAGAGAGATTGAATCTTCATTCAGTAGTAGAGAAGCGAGGACTAAGACAGACAGATTGAATCTTCATCCAGTAGTAGAGAAGCAAGGACTAAGACAGACAGATTAAATCTTCATTCAGTAGTAGAGAAGCAAGGACTAAGACAGACAGACAGATTAAATCTTCATCCAGTAGTAGAGAAGCGAGGACTAAGACAGACAGATTAAATCTTCATTCAGTAGTACAGAAGCGAAGACTAAGACAGACAGATTGAATCTTCATCCAGTAGTAGAGAAGCGAGGACTAAGACAGACTGATTGAATCTTCATCCAGTAGTAGAGAAGCGAGGACTAAGACAGACTGATTGAATCTTCATCCAGTATTAGAGAAGCAAGGACTAAGACAGACAGATTGAATCTTCATTCAGTAACAGAGAAGCGAGGACTGAGACAGACAGATTGATTCTTCATCCAGTAATAGAGAAGCGAGGACTAAGACAGATTAAATCTTCATTCAGTAATAGAGAAGCGAGGACTAAGACAGATTGAATCTTCATCCAGTAGTAGAGAAGCGAGGACTAAGACAGACAGATTGAATCTTCATCCAGTAGTAGAGAAGCGAGGACAGACAGATTTAATCTTCATCCATTAGTGGAGAAGCGAGGACTAAGACAGACAGATTGAATCTTCATCCAGTAATAGAGAAGCGATGACTAAGACAGACAGATTGAATCTTCATTCAGTAATAGAGAAGCGAGGACTAAGACAGACAGATTAAATCTTCATCCAGTAGTAGAGAAGCGAGGACTAAGACAGACAGATTGAATCTTCATCCAGTAGTAGAGAAGCGAGGATTAAGACAGACAGACTGTATCACAGCACTCACCATGTGCAGATTATTATTTTCTCTTTGAAGCATTTTTACACGACACCTCTCTCTGCTGAGTTCTCTGTCAAGGTTATCCATGATATGTTTGGGCACCAAGTCTATGGGTGAAACAAGAAGTGACCTGGACTCTGGAGGATGATGAGGCATTTTTGCTGATAAAGTAGGGGCAGATAAACATCTTGGAATACTGTCCTGAGATAGTCCAGCTACTGAGAAGCGAGGCCTTCACAGATAGATTGAATTTTCAGAATATTGAGAGCATTGTTTTTTTTTCGACCGACAGGTTGTGAACGGTCAATATTAGAGAAAGCTTGACTGCTTTTCAGATGAATCCTCATCCAGTAATAACATCTTCTGGACTAGACAGACAGATAGAATCGTGCCTGCTGAGAGGAGGGTTACT